GCAGCGTTGCCGAACATACTAAAGTATACGATTTTCTTCTGAAAGTTAATACAAATATTAAAACGTTCTTATTTTTGGCAACATTGTGAAAAATGTCGATCACTGAAGCACTGTCAAAGACTGGTGTTTTTACCTTACCAACATTGGGATTTTGTTCAGACTATCTTAAACACAGGCACGCACTACTAAAGCACAGCATACACATTGCTTCGCCGGAAAGCTTTTTCACATCGTTTTCTACTAACGAAAACCAATATACTATTTCTTCTACTCTTGTATGCGCAGGGTTGATTAATCGGGAACTTTGGTGTACACTACCGATGAATTTGAGAGTGTGTCATGAGAATTCGTCATTTCCTTGTGAATTGTTATTGAACTAAACTTACGTAAATTTCCTAAGCTTTAATTGGCTGTCCTTGAATTGACCACTAGTATAGCTTTTGTAGGCTACATTTATAAAATATATTTTATAAGGATGTATACAGAGTGATTCAGTCATAATGTCATTAATTTTAAGAGCAGATAGAGAAAAATGAGTATAATACGATGGCGTAATTTAAAAAAAAAAAGTAAATGCATATGTAAACTGAAAAAAAATATTTTCAAATCATTATTTAACCCCCTTTTCAGGCTGTTACTGACCGACTGACGTCCTAGATGCAACGTTGCCAAATTTATATATTTTCGCTCATATAAAGACAATAAATAAACGGTTTGCTCACGTCAGACAATAATAATTTAAAATGCTATAAATTATTTTTTATAATTATGCAATCAACATATTAAATTGTTATTGTTGCCCAGCACGAACCTCGAGGTCTGAGCATGCCTTGCCAAAAATCAGTTTTTATTAACATCATAGTGATAATTTTTTAATTTGCTGTAAGCCTTCTACTAAAAATTGAAAGTAACGCGGCCCATTCCGATGTTCAGGTAGAAAATGCGACTCAATTAAACTATCGCCATATATTCCTGCCCATACATTGACACCGAATCTCCTCTGAAAGCTAAACCGACGAGTAGTGTGCGGGTTTTCATCTCACCAATTGTGACTATTATGGCTGCAAAGAAATTAGCTCTGTTTCACTTTAAATAAAATTTAATATTGAAATTACAAAACTCCAAGAGTTCAAATAATTTAAATTTCTTTTCATAACCATTTCAATTTCATTACAGAAATAATGACATAAAAAACCCACACTCACTAGATAAATTATAAAGAGAGGGTGAAATATATGTAGTATTTAAACATTGACTGTAAGTAATAGAAAATAAAAAAAACAATCGGACGGAGACAAGTACGTACGTACGTGTTTTCGACCTAGGCTTACCTGTGTCGAGGTCACTAACCTTCTAATTTGCACATGCACTATAGTCTAGAAGGCAGACAGGGTTCCGTTGCCAATCAGAGTGCCACGGGTGCAAACAACTTATTCTATAAAGTATTTTGACCTTCTGAATCCAAAAAACTTGATCGCAAAGCCTGAAAGTTTAATTGTTATCAACAAATTAAATGTTTAAATGGCTGTAAAAAGTTTATTTTTATAGCTAGTACACGGAACCCTATCTGGCTCCTAGACTAATACGAACTGTAGTAGGATCATATTCCATGCAAAGCAGAGCAAAAAGTTGTCGGTCTTTTATCAAAGGAAAATCGTGTCATCAAACTGAATGTAATGAATAGGGATGATTGTTTTCGAATGTACGGTTATTACAATTTATCATTTTTGATATTATTACTAACGTTTTCACGTTTTATAATTTATTATGTTAAATAATACACAGTTTTAATATTTCAATTTATTATTCAATATGCAGTTGCGTATAACCAAAGTTTACATAATAAATATAAACTTTAGTGTAAATATAAAGTGGTGTAACCAAGGTAAATACTTATTGTTTTTGAGAAAGCAATACTACAATTTTACCTGTTTAAAATGCCAGCACGAGTAAAACAGCATTCATCCGTCCAGAGCACTTTCCTAATAAAGTTATGTTCTGCTGCATTTCGATTTAGGAACCAATTGCAAAATTCAAGACGATTGCGGAAACAGCTGCTTCTAGAGCTTGATCTTTTTGAAAATGTGTGATGTTAACTCCTTTGCGAGAAAAATGCGGGAGATATGGAGGGTGGTAAATTTGAATAAACGCTTTAAATTGTTAATGGTTTTGTAACCATGGTAATGTATTTTGTATATTCGGGTATTTCGTGTGCCGACGTTTTTTATTTGATAAAAAACCTCTGCTTTATGAATTTTCTTTTAACGAAAGTTCGAGAACACAGACTTGTTAAAACATTTTGCACTAAGTTCCATGATCCTTCCTTTATTTACTTGCATTTTATTGGTTTCGTACATATGTATCCGTATACTAAAGCGGATTAAGTAAATGTGAACCACAGATTATGATGTGAACTTGGCAACGCTATTCGCTTCAGCTGACGATTTGTTCGTGACATTATGTTACAAAATTTTCCGAGCATCCGGGCATCTGGCAGGGCCGCCCTCTTAGCGGGAAATATGGGTTGATTTCCTTCATTTTTAAGTAGAGCTAAATTTTTTTTTTCCGATTTTCTGTTTATTAAGCCTTCCGAATACGTGGTTAAAATTAATGACATTATGACTGAATCACCCTGTATATTGTACAAGTGTAGTACCTTCGAACTAAGGTATATTTGGTAACATTTACTTTTATACTATATAGGTGTCATACTGGATTCAATAAATGCTTATATTGGGGCTTGTTAACTGGGCAACTTGCAGCAGTAGCAGTTATAACTATAAGCATTATATTCATTATATGGGTGAGTATATTTGGAATTTTTAGGAGTGTCACAATGACACAGAATGAATAGGTAAAATAAAAGAAAATCTATAAAACCCAGCTAATGATTTTTTTTAACATCAACGTTCAGGACAATAACTAAGTATGAAACTCAGTTCACATGAAGCCAGTAGAGAGGCAAATCAAGTAAGCAAATGATTTGGTGCAACTTTCTATGAACCTTCTATGAACGTTTACTTGCTTTACAAAACATACAAGGCTAATGAGATACATGTCATTTGCTTACTCGACTTGTTTTTTTAGTTCAGTACACCAACCTTAAATATTAATTAATGTAAATCAATCATAAATATCTATGAGTGTATGTGTATTATAAGATTCCTCAATAAAACTATTTTCAAAATACTCAGTAAAACAAAGCTCCGTTTATACGACAATAAAATTTTAATTTGTCACATTGGGACAAACTTTTGTAGTTTCTTATATAGCAGACTTTGGTACAAATTCAAATGCAACGTATAAGCACATCTTAATCAATTTAGTTAGACAAGCGTTTGATTTTCCTTTTTATTTTTTATAAATCTCTTCAGTTCTCCAGCTTGTATTAAAAATTTATCTTAAAACACTGTCGGCTTTAAAATATTCACATTTATTGATAATATTCACAAGAAACATACACGGTTAAATAAAAGAAATAATATTACAACAATAAAAAATATATAATTATTGTCTCCATTTCAACGAAATAACTTCCTATTTATATATATTCTTCTATCCTTTTATTATTTTTTATCTTTCAGGTTGTCCCTTATATTGAAATGTAGAATATCAGAAACATTTATTGTTTGTCCTCAACCAGTTAAGGTGACTTAAAAAGTTCTTTATAATATATTGATATTTTATATATTTTAATAAATTATTATGTTATTTATTAGTAGTTTATGAAGCAGATTGTTTAAATTAGTTTTTTTATAATAATTGGAAAATATTTGTTTACTGCTTGTTTGTTTATACAGACTGTTTCAGAAAGACCTCCTGTAAATACAGGGACAAAAATTATATATTATATGTCTATCTCCTCTTGTTTTCGAGATACAGAGGGACAAAATACATTTTTTGTAAATAGAATTTTTACGAAAATTTCCAAACGGTGCGAAATATTTTTATGAAATTTGGTATTTCGGGGTCTTTAAGGATGCCAAATACACTGGCCTAATTATTTTTTTAATTTTAAACTCCAATTAACTTTTAATTTAATTTTAGTGACTAAGTCATTACAAACTACAGTCACTAAAATCATTAAGATTTTCATATAAAGTTAGAGTTTAAAATATTACTAAGAATGTATGCGTTGTATATGACAGATCCATCAATAAATTTTGACATACGTTGAGAAAAGTCACTTATTTTATACACCCTAATATTGTAAGAGTTTAATTAAAAGCCTTTTTTCTCGAAAACCGTCCACATTAGGAAATTCTAACAAGAGTACATTATTCTTAGAAAATAAAATTGTACATTAGAATTGAAGCCCGAATGGTAAAAACCTAACCTTAAAAAAATTGGAACTTAAAATGTAATAGGAATGTAGCATAACTAGCGCCCTCTATGAAATATCCAAAAAATAATTAGACCAGCGTATTTGGCATCCTTACAAACCCCGGAATACCAAATTTCATAAAAATATTTCGCATCGCTTGGAAATTTGCATAAAAATTGTATTTAAAAAAAATTTTTTTGTCGCTCTGTATCTCGAAAACAAGAGGAGATAGACATTGTATAGTTCATAAGAGAAAAAAAATCTTATTTTTTTTATCGTGCTATCACCCCCTGTTTTTACGGGAGGTCTTTCTGAAACAGCCTGTATATTGAAAATTGTTCTTTTATACGTTATAGTTTCTTCTTACCTGAAGACGGCTTAATAGCCAAAACTAGTAAGAAAGAAAATAAAATAATTTTATACTGAATTAAAATGGACCTTAGTAATAATCGTTTTTCAGGGAATTATTTCGAACTAAATTATCAAAACAATTCAATATAGAATAACTAGAAATACGGATGGTTTCATGAAATGTAAAGCACAGTGAACATAATCCTATGAACATAATTGTATAAATCGATGGCAAAAACCTTTTCTCTAATCTCGGAATATGTGTGTATATATAATTATCAGTAGTGGCCTAACAAATTTTTAAGGAAAACACCCTGTATTTACTAGATGCTTCTTAAAAGATATGTTTCAGACTATTCAATTCGATGTCAATGTTATGGCATTACTTTTGGTCTCAAATCTGTTACTGTGGGAGTACTGCTATTTTGCACAACAATATGAAAATGAAGTAAGTTTATTTGCATACCACAAAATTAAAATTAAAACTATTGGATGATTTTTGGAAAAAAGCATATTTAATTGTTATACGTCTTAAGCTTTGTAAATTTAACAACTTCATTAATTAAAAACCTCATTTAGACAACGGCGAATCAGTATAAAAATTAGTAAAATTAGAGAAATGAGATTGATATAAATATAATAATAATAATAATATGACACGTAATTCTAAGAATAAGATATATATTAAATCTCCAAATTTATCTTAACATTTAATTCATAAATCTAGAAATGGAGAAAGAGATTTGTCTCGATAACAAAATTTCCTTTCAGTGCGATCTGCTATATTTAACTTTAAATGACTTGCCATGGTATAACTGGGACATCAGAAATCAAAAGATTTTACATATGATCCTGATGAATACTCAGCATGCACTTGCTATAAAAAGTATTGGCAGCCACAGCGCCAACAACCAGATTATAACAATGGTGAGTTACTTCCTGTATTATTTATTCACTATACTCTGTATTTTAAAATTTGTTTATCTATTTCACGAAAGTATAGAACAGCGCTTACATTGGATGCAAATTCGTACGAAAATCTGTTCGTACGGAATCATATGAATCTTGAAAAATTATTCAAGCGACTAGAGAGGTTACGCAACTTTGTTTTTAAAGTTTAAGATATAAAATTAAAATCCTATTCTAACAAAGTAACACAACATTCATGTAGATGTCGCTATATACATTTATAGTAAAAATTGTAGTAATTAATTGATAATATTCGGAAACCATATGGACACACAATAATGCGATAAAATGTATATAGGTTTGAGGTAGACATAATGTGAAAGAGTGAGGTGATACAATCCCATATAGTTTTATATTTTATATTCCATTTTTGGATTGGATAGGTTGTAAGTATATAATATCGTTGCACAGGATGAGACGTAATTGTTTCTTACCGAGTTTTGAATATTTGTGATATTTAAACATAATATACAACTGACTGTTCGTGAAAAATTGTTTAACTGTTCTCATAAATTAGTTATTTTCGGTGCAACATCTAATTCATATCAACGAAATTAAAATATTTATTAATAATTTTATTCCAATATAACTTATTCAATAAATAAATTTTCAACAAAACATGAATAAGACTAAAATAAGAATAATCAGTGTATTTATTAGAATACAACAATGTAAAATTTACTTTAGTAATTTTGCAAAGAGGTAAGATAGATGATATCTTTAAATACGAAACAAATAGTATTTTATTACAGATTAATTCGTGAAATATTTATATACTACATTTTCTCTTTACTTTGTCACCTTTGTTTATCTCTTGTTCAATTGTGTATAAATTATCAGTACTTTCCTCCATTGTTTTAAAAAGATATATTGACATAAAGGTAGGTCTATTTTATACTTTTTAAATAGGAAATAGGCTACATTACCACGTATTTGTTTCTGTTTTGTCCCGGTTCAGGGGTCTGTTAGTTGCTGACTTGCGGGCAACTTCGATAATGCTTTACTGTATATTTCTTTTGCATGGATGTTAAATTTATGAAACCACATACGTTATTTCATTCTTTATTTTAACTGCATACACTTTGGTTAACAGTTATTGAAAGAGAATACTAAGCACTGAAAATATAAATATAAAATGTAGTTTCGCGAGTTACTGTGGCACCTTTTTTCTAAGGTTGAATTGCACTACATGGGCGTAGGCAATTTAAATCTAAACAGTTTCAATCTCACATTTTGCACGAACAGATTTTTGTACGAATTCCCATCAAATGGAAAAAAAACTTGTAGCATTTAGAGAATCTTCATATTCACTATATCCATTGACTAGGCTGACCTATGTAAGGTCATTTCTGTACCTATATATATGTAACTATTTTCATATTTGGAGATTTATAGGATCGGTTGAACGAACAAAGTTGTAAAAATCGTGTTAGCCACATAATTGGTGGTATTCTCATTGAATTCTACGTAAAATCATCAAATTAATCCAGTTTAAATGTAACTGTTGCCGAGTTGCATATCGACAATTTTCAGATATTTCAGGATAATTCAGGAACATGAAAGCTCGCGAGAAAACAAAACAGCAATGACTTATCCACGAAATTCTGCAAAATTTTAATAATTTAACTGAAAGTTACCCATATATAGAAGTGGTTGTACCTTCAATATAGAAGCTTCATCTATATTAAAACAAACTTTTTGTTTCGTTTTTAGACGTACCGGGAGGTGTACGCCTTTGTTACATTTTTTTGCACAGTAACTAGAAGGACCTAAATGAAACCATGGTTATGGAATATTAAGCTGGAAAATATTCAAAATAATAACTGCACGTGCACGAAACAAGTCGGAACTAATTTATTTCATCGATACGGAACCAGTTGAAGGCTGTTTTCTTTCCCGAGAATTATTGTGTTTTATAAATTCCTTAATTTAATATTGAACATAGTAAATAAATGACTGATTTTATTTTAATTCAATAATGTTAGCGATGAAAGATTCATTAAATAATTTTAAAATTTTCTTATTTCGTACATACAAGTAACATTTAATGACTTAATATTATAACGTGATAATTGAACTGCATTGTTGTACCATTATAGTTATACCATATTGTACTTACCACTCTGTAACTTGCAAAAAATAAAATTCTATAAGCACGAATGTGAACTTATTTCCTTCTAATGAATATAACTTTTAAAGTTTTTTGTATTTTTACATAAAATTCATTAACTGCCTTTAGAGATTACTTCAAATACGCAGGCAGCTATAACGTCATTTCATGTCGACCAATCGCTTTCGTTATATAAGAAATTTTTTTCTCCGTTGCGAACATCGCTTAAAGAATCTACTGTGGGGACATATGTAATGTTCCAGATATTTGCCAGAGCTCATCCAGATTTTTAATATGAAACCGGGTCTTTTGTAAGCCCTGTATGACTTGGTTGTGAACAAATATCACTTTTTTCTTATGATTCTTTATACAAATCAAACTAATGTGGACTGTATTTATTTTATTAATGTCAAGAATGACAAAATTACAAACAAAGTGACCGTGTTTGTTCGAATAGGTTGCTGACTTCTAGATTTGTTTACTGTCTATCTTGCATGCACCAAACACCGAGTAATCATTCCACAATATTATAAAATTATTTGTTATAAACACACTAGGTAACCCACGCGCGGACGCCCCTGCTTTCAAACTGAATTGTTCAAAATCCACCAACGTGTAAACACATTTGGGTCCGTCTTACTCAGTTTCTACGAACTAACACAAATGTTGTCTTGCTTCACCATAACACAAATGCTTCACCATAAATTAAAACGATATCCATCAACTCCGAGTTGCTATACACGCAAACCATTTTTGACACGAACTACCCATTTTTGACACTAACTACTAAAAAAATATTGTAAACACAACAGATAACTGGTAAATATTGTTGCAACGACGATTGCAGAATACGACTTCAGTATTCGGAGTCGCTGAGACCACGTGGCTCTCCACGCGCATTGCAAATGACGCCAGAGACTACAGTTGTCCAGCTATGTAGTCGTTGAATGTACTATAACTTCAATAATTTTGTTCTCGGAAACTATAAGGATTTTACAAAAAAATTTTTTACGATATTGCCTCCATTTCTCATGCCGCATCTATACCCAATTTTTTTTGGATAAGTTCTGAATCACCCTGTAGGAATTAAAAGAACAAGACAAAAAATGTCTACATTAGAAAAAATTGCTCAGTTATTTTTTGGAGAATGTATTACATTCGAGGGTAAATATACCTTAAGAATGTCTAATTCATGACATCAAACAGATAAAATTTTGCTGCCGAAGCATTACAAAGAGCCCGACCGTACATTAAATGCATATCAGCATATTCTTCATTGGAATACTCCATATTTTATAACAATAACTCTACAGGGTGAGCCCGGAGGAAAAAATTTTATATGAACTTGTGACATTATTTTCTCATTATCTATCCATATCCGAGAGATTGTCCACCATTTCCGTGACACCCTGTATATGTATGTATGTTTACATACCATCCCATAATATTATCCACGGTGCCTGATTTACTTGATGTTCTAGCTTGTAACTAAACCCTTCGGATTATTCCGGAGGATTTGGCTTCATTTTATTCTGCTAAAAGTTCTTTATAAATCTTCTCAATATGTAAAGGGCCTGCAGGAGAGAGCTTGAAAATAATAATTATGGTTCACCTTCAACTGAATTTTTCCATTCTTATCGATCAAGTTTTTTTTTTTCGTCAATTCCTTGCTCGTTTCGGGGCATTTTACTTCTACGATCGAATCGTCGTCAATAACCGCCATCAGGACTTGCTCCAAGAAAATATTCGTCATCTTGTCCTATGAAAAATCCACAGTCTGTTACAGTTAATCCAGTGGAGTTCCTGGCAATCTTGAATTGCTATCATTTGATGTTCTTGCCCACATTTAGTGGCACTGTTGCTGGTAAATTTATTATGTTGCACTGTAGCATAAGATTTAGTTGCCTTCAGTTTGCATACTAAACCAAAATTGAACTTAGTTATTCTGAAGACTCTTTCCTGATGCCACAGAGAATTGGAACTTTGACCTCTGGTATTTGCTGTGAATAATTTCCTCTAGCTACCTACAAATTTGTTTATTAAACTGTTATAAAGTTCAGAAGTTCAGCAGGATAGTTATAACACTATTTGAAGGCAGTTCATTATATTCTGCTTAAGTCCACATTCAGTAATTTGTGGAATTAAATTTTTTTCACATGGTTTAATATTCGTCATATTTTTCGTGCAAGCAAATATGTGATCGACACTATTCTGGATATCTTTTCGGAAACTTAATTAATAATTTTTCTGAATAAGTTAAATCATATTTTGCACGCTTTCTTTATAGTAACTCTGAACTTGAGAATACTATTTTCTAGTTTTCTTCTCAATTTTATTGGGATTACTTTCAAGGAAGAAGAACTTCTTGCTGTTTTAGAAATATCTTTCAGTTTGTGGCACAAGTTTCGCAAAAAATGATTGACACATTCCACTTTTTCTATCGGTATGTCACCGTAAGGTTTTTCAGATTAGAAGCTTCCTTGTGATACTGCTCTTGTCACCTTCCTCGTCCCTTAAGGGGAAACGGATAGGTCCATTAAGAAAGGGTCGGCCTCGTCTAGCGTCAGAGGAGACAGGTGAGGTTCTTTAAGATGGTAAAAGAAAAACTAAAAGTTGATATATGGGCGCCAGGTAAATTTATACCCTTTCCACTCTATGTGTTGCTACTCCACCAAATTTACCAAACAGGTTAGCAACCAAAAAAAAATAGTAATTAAAATGACAATAACAAATTTATTTCAATTAGAATTGTAATTAGAATATAACATTTACAATTATTCAAATTATCTATATACATAGGTACACATATAATCAAAAGCTGAGTGAGCAATAATCAATGTCAACAAAAAAATAATATGTAGAGACTATTTATTTCTATGGTAAACAAACACACTAGGGTATATGGTGAGAGTGCAACATGTATTGACCATATGTTTATAAGAACAAAACTAAACTATGAGTTGTTTCTTCCAGTTATCTTGCAAAGTAGTATAACAGATCATTATTCAACTGTAATTCGTGTGTCTAGCCTATCTGTAATAAAAAATAAAATGAATTATAAGAAAAGATATAAAATTTATTTAAATTATAAAAAACTAAATCGAACTCTTGAAAATGAATCATTTGATAATTTGTATCAGCAGGGCGATGTAGACATGGCAACAGAATATTTTGTTGATTATTTAAAAGAAAACATTAATAAATGTACAACCAAAAAGTTGATAAAGAGAAGTGAAATGAAAAGGTCACTGGATTACTGATGGGTTAGTAAAGTCGATTAACAAAAAACATGCATTATACAAAAAAGTACAAAACAATCCGGATAATATAGAAACAAAAAGAGAATATACAAATTATAGAAACTTGCTTACCAATTTAATAAAGAAATCTAAAATTAGTTACTACCAGTCGTTAGTAGAAAACAATATAAATTGTAATAAAAAATTGTGGGAAAATCTAAAAAATATAAATGGAAATAAAATTAACATTAGTGAAGTTAAACAAATAAAAACTGGGTATGACAACGTAACCAATAATCCAATTGAAATTGCTGAAACTTTTAACGCATTTTATAGCCAAATAGGGAGTTCATTAGCTAGTAAAATAAAGTATGACTCAGAATATAAATGTAAACAGACAAAAATTTTACAATCAATCTTTCTTCAGCAAACTAATGAGAGTGAAACTAAAAAAGTTATTATGCAGTTGAAGGAGGCAGCATCTCCAGGTATTGACGGTTTGAAATCAGAAACGTTAAAAAAAAATTGCAACTTTTATCTGTAAGCCGTTGAGTTTTCTAATCGACCTATCAATAAAAAATGGAGTATTCCCAAAGTTGTTTAAACAAGCATCAATAAAGCCTATATTTAAATCCGGTGATAAGTTAGACGTTACAAATTATAGACCAATATCGCTGCTGAGCAACTTGTCAAAAATATATGAAAAAATATTGAAAAAGAGANAATGTTTATTAAATAAAGTTATAATGTTATGTTCTGTAATTTTCCAAACCTAAACCAGAACTCATATTGGCCATATACTATCGCTGGAATTTGGTACGTTTATGACGCTATGAAATATGAATTTTATTAATTAGAATTCTTATTCTTCAAAAAGTCGAAAGAAAAAGAATCAAAATATAAAGGTGAGGTCACACCAAATTTTTTCTATCTATAAACCGATTTGAAATATCATCGCAGACAGTAGTGTCGTTGTCACCCAGTATAGGCAGTATATTAATTTTTTTGATGTAGAGGGGGGCCCCTTGAAAAAAATTGCGGGGGGGGGGAGGGAGGCGAAGACCTTGGCACGCCACTGGTCTTTTTTAATGTCTACATTAAAATCTGTAGGTTATTTTTGTATATTCAGTGACGAAAATAGGCGACTGTCTGTAGTGTACGTTTATTAGCGTTAACTTGTTCACATCGTTCATTGCAGGCGTATTCTGGTTGCAATTTTCTTTCTTTTGGGGATATCGCAAAGATATGGTAGCAAACTCATAAGAAAATAAGTAATCTTCATCCTTGTTGAGTTCTTCAGATGTCTTTATTTCCTTGCAGTTTTTCCAAATGTTCAACTTTCCTTTGTTCCAATAAAAGAAGCTTTCCTATAGCATCCGTTTTATCAATTTTTCTTTTTTGTTGTCATGATAGGTTTTTTAGAAGACTTCGCAGTAATACCAGGTAACGGATTTTTTTTAATGACTTTAATTGACTTCTAATTCTTGTACTTCACTATTAGTATTGGCCTCCGTATCAAGATCAATAGCGTTTTCAGAGTCTATCATATCATCTTCTGTCATGTCTGTACACGCCAGTACTGGACTGTGGAAGTGTGACCATCTACACTCAGTTACACACATTTGTTTGTTTTACCGTTGTCGGCCGTCCACGCCAGTCTAAAAAATTGATCAAATACGGATGCACTCTACATAGCGGTATAGTTTAAAATAACAATGTTAACTAAATTATAATATAAAGAGTAATTTACATGGAAGAATAGGACGCACTACAATGTAGTACGAATTCTTATTTTGAGGAATT